TCTCCCAAACAGCAGTTCGAAGGGGGTGAAGCCTGTGGAGGCCTGTGGTACTTCCCGGACTCCAAAGAGCACGTATGGGATCATGAGGTCCCATTCACGCCCATCTTCGGCCACCACCCGCTTCAACATCCGTTTGAGCGTCTGGTTAAACCGCTCCAAAAACAAGACAACATAGGAGACGAGAGTGTGATGTTAACGTCCTTGTAGAATCTGCTGTATAAAAATATGACATAATAAAGCTAAAAAAAACAATTCTTCACTTGATTCTGGCATTTGATACAGGACATTACCATTCAAAAGTTTGGGATTACTATGATATTTTATTTTTAAGAAATGTATATTTTTGTTCTTCAAGGATGCATTAATTGAATAAAAATGACAGTAAAGACATTTATAATGTAAAAAAAAGATTTCTATTTCAAATAAATGCTGTTCTTCTGAACTTTCCATTCATCAAGGAATCCTGTCGCTGTATAATGGTTTCCACACTTCATTAAGCAGTACAACCATTTTCAACTCATAATAATCAGAAATGTTTCTTGTGCAGCAAATCAGCATAATTAGAATGATCTCTGAAGGATCATGAGACACTGAAGAGGAGAAGTTGAGATCTGACATCAGAGGGGAAACTACTTTATTTTAAATTGTCAAATTATTTCACAATGTTAATGTTTTTTAATATTTTTAATCTGATTCAGTTGGTGAACATGAACAAAAAACCTTACTAATACAAATCCTTAGATCAGTATTGTATATATCAACAGCTGTTCCACGACCCGGTCAGTATATTCCTGCCGGGCTGCCAGTCTCTCGGTAAACTGCTGCTGGTGGGCCGAGAGCTCCGTTGACCTCTTCCATGTGTCCGGGCGAAGAGAGCGGTTTCTCGAAGAAGCACAGAGATCGTTATAGCAACCTGGCGGTACCAGTCTGTGTCTCAATTCACCTGTAATGCCTGCATTCTCAACCATATGTCGCGGGGTGAATGAGAACACAGACTCGGTACTGATCGAAAGAGCCCCGGAGGGTGATTTATTTGCCCACACACTGATCACACATGCCCTGATGAATGGTGCTCGGTGCCCGTCTCAGCGTGGTGCTCGTGGGGTGAAGTGCCTGGTGAACATGAACAAAGAACCTTACTAATACAAATCCTTAGAACAGTATTGTATATATCATATCAAAACAAGCATAAGCACACTTATGAACATTTGTTAATGAAATTATTTTTTAACATGAAATTAGTTTCTTATTCCATTCCATAAAATGCAGTGAAGTATTTGTTTTCTCATTTACAGTGTACCAAATGTAGGCCACTTTTTAAACGTTTGTCCATACAATTTTGTTTAAACCAAAATGTTACTTATTAAAGGGGTCATATGATGCGATTTCAAGTTTTCCTTT